GCCTGGTGTTTATTTTGCGCATGCTTGCTTTACAGGGCTTACCTTTTAGCCGTTTGTTATCTAACAGTATTATATGTGCAATGGAATTCCGTAATTTCCTGATCCATTTTTCATTTTCTGGGGAAGCGAAAGCATGTAAGAATTGTTTGCGCGGTAACGCATTCACTCCTCCGCTTCAAGGGCTTTCGATGGTTCCTTCTTTCGGGAATTGCTTAGAAGTAGTCTGAGAGCTATTCTCTGGAACCTGCTAGTATCAGTTTGCCATCATAATGCATGATTGAGTCGTAGAAGGATTAATCTTTCCACTGGCAGAGTCGAACTCTCGAAATTCAGCATGGGGAAGTTAAATTCGTCCATATTTGAGGAGGAAATCGCGGAGAATTGCGCAAGCATATGCAAAACAGAGTAAAATCTGTGTAAAACTAAAACACTTGTAGTATGTTTGCTTGTTACTTATCCGAAAACTTGTAGATTTTTAGGTTCTATTTGTATTTGTAGAATTAAACTTGCGTAGCTATAGTTGTTTGCGATAAACCATGTTTCTGGCAGTAGCTGCAGTCTACGCTTGCATTGGTAATACTGCATCTTCGGAAATTTATCAGAACAGCTGAAAATAAAAGCGTCTGCGTGTTTGTTAAACAAGAAATCTAGCCCGGAACGCACCAGGCTTACTGGTGCGATAATGCGTTTTTGCTGTGCAGCGCTGTAATGCTGCTACAGCGAGCAAAAACGCATATTGTCGAGAGGTCGTTCGTGTGTGTGTGTGTTCGGAAGTGAGTGAATTTTGTCACCCACTTTCAAATCAGCAACTAGGGATGCCGGAAGGCTGAAATTTTGGGGACATATTCCCAACCCGTGTGTCATCCTCCCATTTTAAAATCTTCCAAATGCGCTTGGATTTCTCTTACGGATCTCCCCAAAAAATATGCAGATTTCTGTCGTGGAAAGCGATTTCGTGAACCAGACAAGATAAGGGACTGAAGCTTTGCAAAGATATTTTTTGTGCATGTATGAGCTAAAGATTTCAAATTCAGCTATTGCACATGCTTATATCGCGCGCATAATCAAGTCAATCTTCGCAATTAGCACTGTGCTAACTCAAAAACTACTCAGGAAACAGTAGCTGGAATTCTGTCAGAATATTTGTTGTTCATAATGAAAATCATATACCTAAACTGAGTTTCAGTTTGCATTTGCACCACGATTTAGGACACTTCAAAAATATTTCTCGGAAGGTGCGAAGCTGAAACTTTATAAGG